ATATCAGTTTTTGCAGAAAAGCGAAATACCTACTTATCATTTCCAAAAAAGCCTTAGGCGTTTACCAATTCCAAAATTGGAAAACACCTGTGCAAGGTGAGGTTATTCAAATGTTTGCTGTAATCAGAAGGGATCCGTTCGAAAGAATGATAATGCGTGAAGATGTATTTTAAAATTAAAACGCTGGGTTTAGCTTCAATGTGGATTTGTAAATAACGTATTATTTGGTTTTTTATTTACCAATTTTTTTGTCCTAAAAACAAACCAATTTTTATTTTTTTCTTCTTTATTTTTTGTTTTGTTTTTCCTCTGAAAATTTTAGCTTTCGAATAGAAATACTGAGTGTTTCAAATGAAGAAGTTTCTTTGCGATTGAGATAATGCTGTAGTCTTTTTTTTTTCACATTTGGTACGAAGTAGCTTTATTTTTGGTCGCCAGTAGTTGCAAACTTCTGTCTGAGACTTCTGTATATTTTGATCAAATTATCGGGACTTGTGTAGTCAATGGGTAGGGCCATATTGTACTTCTGAGATTTGAAAAAAAGCTATCTATTATCTCCCAAAAAAGGAAAACCTACTTTTTTGAAAAAATATCTGGTAGGAAGATTTTGAAAAACTCAAGGAAAAGAACTTACAGTACAGTGTGCTGTCGATGAAAATAATGTGTGTGTGCCTAAAGTATTAATAAATATTTTTAAATCTTTCACTTTTTTGTGTATTAAGTAAAAAAAGTTATGAAATATTGGCTCAAGTTTTTGTAGAAGATCTTGTTCAGTATTACTAGGAAAGTGAGTTACAGATTATTGACTGCTGCGAAGCCAGTATTGTCTGAGGATAAGTATAACGCTCTAAAACTGAAGGTCGATCAGTTTCAAAAAAATGAAGGGCCAGGTTGAATTTATAACCAAAACTTTTTTCTTGTTCAATTTTTCAAAAGTTTAGTTAGCTTTTCAAGTTATTCGATGCTTTAGGCTAACTTCTATCAAGAAATTTTTTACTGTTTCAAAATTTTATTGTTACAGAACTGGGCTTTTCTTGTAACTTACCGATCCTACAATATGACGCAGATTTCAGAATGTAACCCGATTCTTCTGATTAACGTTTACTTTGCAGATCTACAGCAGACTTTGTTGGAATATGACAGGAAACATAAGGATACTAGTTACATTTCGGAAGCATGGTTTGATATATACTTAAAAAGCAGAGTTCCTTGTCCTGTCAACTTCAATCCATTTATGACCTTTGCTCCAGCTCCAGCAGCTGCGAATAATGACCAGGTTTTTTATGGGCTATTGAGATTGTATTCTTGCTCTAACATTTCTTCCATAAGTTTTCGTGGTTCCTCTTTTAATTGATTTCTTTTGTAAAAGCTCAAGAATCACGTTTGTATGTCAGGCGGATTACTTGGAGGTCATTTTACAGCTAAGCAGGGCCACTAATTTCATAATATCATTTGGTAGACTGAAGCGCTCACTTGATAAAGGCATATTGGAACCGGAAGTTTACCACATGAATCCGAAGAAATCGAACACAAAGCTTTTTAGGAAGATTTGCAGGTTTCAAATACTAAACTGAAGATGATTTTAATGCGCTATTTCTTATCTTCTTTCTTGTATCTCTTTTTTTTTTTGAAAAAACTTTTGCTGCTTCTTACCAAATTTTTTTCTTTCTTTCTGCAGTTGTCATTGGCCACTTCCATATTTAATTTTAGTTTTATTAGGACAGAAACGAGAGCAATTTCTGTAGCAAAAATTTTCTAAATTTTTCACGTAAAAAAAGATAACTTAGGCAGGTTGATTATTTCTGCTAGAACATTCTCTCAGTTTGCTGCAACTCTTGGAATGAACCTTAAACCTCAAACTGTTTAGCCGTATCGAAAGTTTTTTTTGTCACCTTACACTTTTACTTGTAACCATTGAGAATCGCTATTTAAGTAGACTTTTGTTGTTAGATTTTTTGTTCTTATGATTCCTCAGAATTTCTGCTGGAGAATTCCAATCTCTAGTTTTTAATTTCTGGTGTAATGAACAAAGTTGTGTAATTCAGATCACTGCCAAGCAGTTTAAGCTGGTATGGGGCTGTACTGTTTAAAGCATTTCCATTGGATATGAGTCAATATCCCTCACTGTTTGGTGTTTCTCGCATTCCTAAAAAGAACAAAGATGTCTTGCATCATTGCGTAGATGCGAGACACTTCTTGGTTATTAGAAAAGGAAAACTATTTTCTGTCGAACTTTTCGATGGAGAAGGTTAGGCATTCTTAGTGTTGCAAGTGTTTGATAAATTTGTTTTAGAGCTACGTTGATGTTTATGACATCAAAAAAAAGTAGTACGAGGAAGAATTTTGGGAATGCCAGCGAAAAAAGCTTAAAACTGAAAGCCTCTCTCTTGAAAAAGAAAATGATTTCAAATTTGCTTCTTCTTTTCGGAATACCTTCTTGAAGATTGACTCTTTGCCGTGGAAAGTTTTGTAAAAATTGTGGTTTGAGAACAGATACCATAATCACTCATAATCACATTGTTGATTTTGGAATTGTCAACAATTGATAGGTCTTTTATTGCAATGCATATGCTCTGCAGGGAATTTGGTGCCTCCAGATCAGGTTCATGCTTGCATTTCTACAATTCTTACTAATACGAAATCTGCAGCACCAGATGAATGTGTGGGTTCGTTAACTTCTCTGGAACGTGATCGATGGGCATCAGTAAGTTTTTACTCGATTTCTTTTCTATTTTGATGTGCTTTTAGCGATTTATAGTGTAAGGCATAATATCTTTTTTGAAAGGTTTATTAGTTAAGGTTCGTACGGAGCTTTGTAAATTGGGAGACAATGCTGCAGCGATAGCTACTGTTGATAATGCGTTGTTTGCTGTTTGTCTTGATACCTTGGAAAGTGATGACCCAAAGGAGCAAATGGAAAGTCTGTTGACAGGAAATGATGCGTCTAATCGGTATTTGAACTAGGTTTTCTTAAGGATATAATTTTTGATTTTCGTCTCTTACATATCGTATTTTAAATTTATTAAATTTCTTGAAAAATTATCTTCAAATTTCTTTTACGGTTCACAAGGTCTTCGTTTTCTTAGCAAGTTTTTTTTCAAGGTGGTTCGACAAGTGTTTCCAACTTATAGTTGACTGCCGTGGTAACGCTACTATAAACTTCGAGCACTCTTGGGGTGATGGTGTTGCAATTTTAAGGCTGATGGAAGAGTCTTACCGCGATGTTAATAAAAATTCTTTTGTTTCACCACATCAGCCTGTGGATTTATCTGTGGAAGTTCCTCGTTACCTTAAAGAAATTAGTAAGTTTACTGTTAGGCTAGATGAAAGTTTATTTGATATTTTTTTCAAGTTTCGCTGAATGATTACTGCTTCCAGATTCTTTCCTCCAAATCATACGCTGAATCGTCTAGTGAATAAAGTTTACTTACTCATTTCCTTCATAGTTTGGGGATTTTAGTTTCAATTTTCAGAGTTTGCATTCTCTGACGAAATTAAAGCAGTTATTCGAGAGGCTCAAAAGTCGCATCTTGATACCGTTTCTCGTTTAACTTACAGCGTAGCTGTGTATGAGAATTTAAACAGAGATCTTATAAAGAAAGCAAAATTGTCCCCAGACTCCTTGATGCAGCTTGCTATACAATTGGCATTTTATAAATTATATGGAGAGTTCGTTCCAACTTATGAATCTTGCAGCACTGCTGCCTTCCTCAAGGTTTTTTAGCAAGAAATTCGATATTTTATATAAACTTTTTTATTGACAAATATAGAGTTTCATTTGGTATACTGTTATAGTTGTGTCTGTCGAGAACTGGATATTTTTTTATTTATTAGCCACTTTTAAAACGGGAGTTGATTTTTTCGTAGTGCAAGTTATTTTAAGGGTAGAACCGAATGTGTTCGGTCCGCGACAGAATGCACAGAAACAGCAGTTTTGGCTATAACGAAGTCTGGTAAAAACCTTTACGAAAAGATCTTGAACTGTTCAAAACGTCACTCACAGTTGGTGAAGGAAGCTGCCCTAGGTAAGTTCACTTATCTTCTGACTTTAGTTGGATGGGTAGCATTTATTTATTGTACTCTCATAGTAAGCAGTTTAGGACAAGGGTTTGACAGGCATTTATTGGGACTACGCATCGTTGCAGAAATGTTCGGTAAAAAAGTGCCGGACTTGTACAATAGTCAGGAATTCAATTATTTAAATAACTTTATTCTTTCAACGTCAACTTTGACAACGGATACAATTTATCTCGGAGGATTTGGTCCAGTAGTCAAAAATGGTTTTGGAGTTGGTTATAATGTTACAGCCAATAGGATGGGTGCTGCTGTTACTGCATATAAGGTCATACACATATTTTTTGCTTTACCAGTCTAAGATGTTTTGCTGAGATAAATTTGTTTCGTTTCCAGTTATCTTTTTTGTTTTTTAGGATGAAAGAAATGCAGAAAAATTTTGTTCCGACCTTCTCGAAAGCCTGGATATACTTAATGAAATTCTTCGCAAGAATTTCAAATGAATTTCAATTAAGACTCATAAAATATCTGTACTTGTGAGATGATTTTGAGATCGGGTGCTTTTCCAGCTTTATAGCATTTGTTTTGTATAATATACAAGGTTTGATACCTACTGTAAAGATTTATGTTCTTAAAATAAAGACTTTTGTTCTTGTAGAACCAACGTTCAGTGGTTTTCATGTTTAGTGTGATACTATAAATATTATCAATACTGGTATTAGAACTGTTTCCACAATTTAGGCCAACATTTCTAATTCTATTTATTGTAGTAAATTCAATAAAAAGAGGTAGGACTCATATTATTTTGGTTTCGTTAAATGAACGTATATAAATATACAGTTGACAGTACCATATAGTTCTGGACTTCTCATGCACTAACTGGTTGGGACTTGTAATACTTAGCCAGGTTTTACGCTTTGGAGTTTTTAAAGCATTGGTTTTTAGTGATGGTAATGTTTTTGGCTTTATTGAAATCACAGACAGGTTTGGGTAGCAATGACTACGTTCTTCAGCATTGATTTTGTTGAATTCTGAGTTCCAACAGTAAAACTTCGTTCTAGTTTCAAGAGTGTCCTATTTATGTTGTGGTGTCTGTTATCCTGAGATTTCGAGGTCTAAATACGGGATACACATGATGCGTCATTCTACTGCTTTACGGCTTTTTTATTTTTGAAATTCTCGCTTTATAGATGCAGTCAGTGACACGGTTTGGTCAGCGTTTTTGTGCTAGGAGATTGACTCGTAAATTCTCTAGCGGTCGAGGTTCAGAAGCTCTAACCGATTTTCATGAGATACCATTAAGTTGGTTTTGAAACTGTTTTGTGTTCATACTTCTAATTTTTTAGAGAGGATTATTTTATTCTTTGTTTATATTTCATATAAGTTAATTAAGCAGTTTGCTATAGAAGAAACTTCCTATTGGCAGACTGAAGTTATGTATTCAGTTTGCGTTCTATTTTGGGAACAATATTGAATGACCACCTGTATTAGTTTTAAATTTATCTTTTTTTTTTTTTTTAAAAAGCTTTTTCTATAAAATGTCAATGGATGTTTTTCAAAACACCTACTGTTGAGGTTTTCAAAAAGTTGTTTTCTAGTAAGGTTTCAAAATTGATTTGGTATGAAATGCAAGTTTAGGCTTTTATCTTGCTGCCCACTTTTTTCAGTCATTTTAGGTGACGATCAAATAAGTCACAGAACCCGATTGACAAGACTGTCTAAAGAAATGTTAGAGACGAAATTAGTGGGTATCCGTTGTATTAGTCGTTTTGGCTTCCGGCTTATTGATAACACCTTTGTTTTTGGACCAATTGCTGTCTTTCCAATGACCGTGCTTTCTTGGAGAGTGCCTTCTCCGGAGCATATCACTGAAGAATCAGTAGAATTTTTTACACTTCTGGAACCGAAAATTGACGTCCTTGTCATAGGGGCTGGCGGACGAAAGAATGTCGATACCGTCAGGAAACAAGTCGCCCCATTTCTCATCAGAAAGAAAATTGGTTTTGAAATAATGGATACGGTAAGTGAAGTCTTTGCAGGCAGCATTATGCTAATACCTCTCCATTTTTTTGCTATAAAATATACTGTGGTCTATCTAATTTCAGGTTGTAGTTTCGTTTTTTAAATGTTTCAAATTAAATATATATTAAATATTATAAGTGAGTTTCTGTATTTATGCCGATTTAAAGGAAGAGGCAATTCCAACGTTCAATTTTTTGAATGCAGAACGACGGTACGTTGCTGGCGCCCTCTTTCCGCCACCTGACCTAGAAATTAGTGCCGTTGAGCATGGAAGAGCAATGCAGTTGTTAAAGAGCTTTGATGAACTGGATGTTCATCCTTTACTTGGTGGACTGTATTCCACACTGGATTCCAGAAAGGATATTATCAAGAAGCTGTGGGGGGAACGTGAATTAAAACAATTAGAAGCTATGGATGAAGGTTTGGAAACTCCACAGATTGGACTTGGCGAGGAAGTGAAGCGTATTTCAGGGAAACAGAGTTCCAAAAAATGATCATATTCGTATTGTGTCAGCCTACAACCAACTACGTTTTCGCTGGACGTAAAAAATGCTGCTCTTTGTCACTGATTTTTTTAATGTATCTCCTGTTGCGGTAAAGATTTATTACGCAGCTGTTGTAAATTATGTACAGTATAATAGTATTTGGATGTTATACGAAATAATCTCAGTTTGTATTAAAAAGTGCTTTATTATTTCCTGTTATCAATAAAAGTTGTTAAAATAACGGTTATTCAATTTGAAGAGGATCTTAGTAGTTAAGAAGTCATGAGAAAAGCCGCCAAAGAGGGCCGTTTAAAGTTAGTCATATCCTTGTTCGCTTAAAAAATAATTTTCTGCAGTAATGTTCTCTATGATGGGTGTAGAAATCTATCTTTTTATACAAGCCTTCAATTTATAAATAATTTTTTTAACTTTGTTGGATTTCTGCTGGGCTTTTCCAGTCTGAAGTTGGAAAATAAAAATCTTTAAACATTTTTGGTGACAAGGTGAAGGTGTGGTGGTGTATACCTGTAATATCTAGTAGTGCTTAACTGTATATTTGTTCTAACAATTACTGATATGCTATCTGAGATTTTACTATTTTTCTTCAATTCTTGCGGTGTTTCGACTACGGATTCAGATGAAATTCTCGATTATGAATGCGAGGGAAGCGGCAGCGGCCGGCAATTATGGCGAATCCGTGTTAAATTATTTAACTGTGCTAAGGACAGTTTCTGATATCAAGAAAAAAGAGTTTTCTTCTGAATTTTGTCAAGCTTTGGCGAAACTGATCGATGACGATTCGGGCTTTTGCAAAGATAAGCGATCGGTGTTTGATCTCAGTCGGGAGGTTTTTCCTACAGACCCTGAAGTCTTAGAACTTTCCGTGCGGTTCCTCTATTTTTCTGGTATATGACGTTTTTAAATAAAGTTACTCAAAAACTTTAAATACTTATTTGATATGCTTTATATTTTTATTAGAAAGATATATATTCACATGTAAAACATATTTCAGGGGCTTTATTGGATGCCTTGCATATTGCCAAGAAATGTCTAACCTGTTGTGAAAATAACGAACAGTATATACGTGCACTGGTTAACGCAGAAAATATTAAATCTAATGTGTTTGTAACTTTCAGTTTTTTATTATCTGCTGGATGAAATGCTGGAAACACCAAAAGTAATTTTGCTGAAATCATTATTACTTTTAATTTAGCTTTGATCAGTGGCATTGGGCGATGCTGAATGACCAAAAACGGAACTCATTATATGCAGAAGCACTTTCGTTAACGCTTCGTGATAATCCTCAAAATCGTGTCTTGGATATTGGTGGTGGGACTGCCCTGCTAAGTATTTTCGCTTCAAGGTCATTATTTCTTTATCTGCTTCATTGTCTTCTGAAACTTCTGAAAAGTAAGTAATTGCTGAAATTTCTTTTGTACCAGCACTTTATCTTTGCTAAGGCAAAAACTCTGCGTAAATTTACGTTTGTAAGACAGTTGCTATAAATTTTTCAGGTCACTGTTCACAACTCCATTTTCACTTTTTATTCTTCACTGGTCTATTTTTGGTGCTGCATTTTAGGTTAGGATATTGCTGTAAATAAGGAATGAATCATTAGTGGAAATTAGAGGTGAAACTGACACTGATAAGGACATTTGTTTTAAAGATTGGCAGCATTTCCACACATGAGGACGTTTAGTGCGAAAAATTAATGTGGAACTGTAGTTATTTAATTAAAACATTTTTTAAAATTTACGACTAAGTTCTTCGAAGAATACACGAATTGCTTACGATTTCTTATAACCTTTGATATTTGCTGCGAAATTTAATTATGAAGGTTTTTGGATTTTATGGGTTATATGAAAGGGCAAATGGTAGTTTTAAAGAAAATAAAAATTTTAGATTTTGTGCGACAAATTTATTCAGTCAAACTTTTTAGGGTTTTCTAAATAAACGTCGGTTAACGAGTGAGATAATACCATAATATCAAGAATTATTTTTGACTTTCTAGGATAGTTAACTCTTGAGACTGGAAAAAGGGATGAATGTTTTTTGGTTAGTTAGAATTAAACAACAGTTTGTCTGTCTCAACTCATTTAGTTAATAGGTGAGACACTGGAAATAAATTACCTTTTTTTTTGCAACTCTACAAGGAAATCTCGAAGTTATTTCAGTATTTTAGTTCAACTCTATGTAAAGAGCAAATTTGTACATTTCCATTTCCATCAAGTGCAATTCCAGATATTCTGATTGTGTATACTGCTGTGAAGTTTCGAGCAATATATGCTCTCTTGCTAGAAGAATTGTCAGAGACAGTGATAAGATCTGCATCATTGAAAGACATTCAACCGAAATAGAATTAAAAGAGCTTGGTCATCAAAAGGTTTTATTTTGATTGTCACTTCAGTAGAAAATGTTTGCATGTTTTGCTGGAACTAAGGCATTCTATCAATACTAGGTGGATATTGTTGTAACCGAGACAATGGACAGTGGATTGTTTGGGGAAAAAATTGTCAGCTCGCTGCTTGACGCACACCGCAGATTGGCGAAGTCAAATGCAGTTTTTATACCTCACAAAGTTCGGATTGTTTTCTTCTTTTTTTTAATTTTGTTTGGATGTAAGCTACATAGCAGCAATATGTCATATTTTACAGGGAACTGTTTTTGGTGTTGTGATTGAGTGTAATCAAATATTTCTCGAACATGTTGCTACGATACGTGGAGCACATTTCATTTCCCGTTTTGTCAAGCCCAGTAAATTATTTGAGATTGTTCTTTTCTTACCAGCTCCCTCCGGTAGCGGCTGAAGTTTTACTTATGCTAAGCACATAAAACCTTGGTATATAGGTGGGAGTGATGCAAAAGAACCATATTGGTGTTGTTATGTTGACGAGACCAAAGGAGGCTTCTTACCGTTAACGTCACCTGTAAAGTTGGCGGACGTGTATTTTAACGATGCAGCGAATCTAAAAAAACTGTCTGACGGTTTTTCGGCTATTTCAAAAACTGTATTCAACAAGAAAGGAAATGCGCATGCCTTAATTGTCTGGTTTGAGTTAGTTTTCAGTGATTTAAAACCTAATTATTTTTTTCTGGTTCATACTTGAAATCAGTTTATTTAGGTGCGAGTTGCTTCCTGGAATGCTGTTACTCTCCAGCAATCCTGCAAGAAAAAGTTGTTGGCAGCAAGCAGTATTTCCTTTCCCCTTCGTCCGTAATATTAAGTCTGGTGATGAATGTGCTATATCGGTATTTATCAGTCAAGATAGATTGTCCTGTGAGCTTCTCGACAGTTCATTCTCTGATCCTCTCCTGCCAGAACGCAGCGGATCAGCAAACATGGGAAAGGAAATGCTGGAAACAACTACTATGATGGCTGACTTTTCAAAAGCTAAACAGAAAGGCGGTATAGACACTGCAGATATTGGCACAGGACAGAGCAGGAATATTAGTTCTGCCTCAACGCTTTTGGAGGAAACCGATTTCTTGTATTTAAATGACTGTTATCTTGAGGAATTCTTCTACAAGTGCCTGCTTGATGTGTTCCAGCTTTCATACAAAATTGCTGATCTAACAGAAATTGCTTCAGTTTCTTTGAAACTGAAACATTCGTTTCGTTTCTACTATGGTATTTGCTTCTACCAAAACCATGACTACATGACTATTATGGAACGTTGTTGTGGAAGTAACAAGAACAACGTTTTCCCTTATGGCAGTTCAGGTAATTCTTATCTCTGCCTTTTTTTGAAATTTGAAATTTATACTATGTATTTTAAGAACGTTGCAAAAGACGCTAGGGGTTGCCACAGTGCAATAAAAGTAAGGTGGTACTTTTTCATTTCAATCCCACATAAATATGAGGACGAAGTATGAGCGGAGTTTGAAGTACTGGGTCCGATGACGAAGCGTTTGAATCATACATTCGCTTTTCAGAAAGTCCACATTTATTCGTCTAACTTTCTACTTTTCCAAAAAAGATTTTTGACGTTATGGTTTAAATAGAGCACGAAATTTTACAAGCTTTGTTCACTGAAAAAATTCATTTGTCTGCCACGTAAAATAATGCTTGTTCTAAAGTCAGTCGAAAGTAACTAACATAAAGCCTGATTCTTTAATAGAAGGGGATTGATATCGATGCAAGTGAAAAGATTATCGAGGTTGCTATGATGAGGAAATTCAATGATGGTAGGGTCTCAAGATTAAGAGGATTGTTTAGAAACTTTGAGGGGAAAGAATAAAAAACGGAGAAGGACAAAAAATTTGCTGGGGAGGCCATTGGGCTCTTGATTGAATGCCAAGAGGGGTCTTAAAAAAAATTTTTTTGGAGGAAAAAATTCTTGCAAATACCGCTGGTCACTAGGTTCAAAAGTGTTCTCAGAATTGCGACTCAGAATGTGGGTAATTTTTTTACAAAGGAAAGTTAAGATAAATTAATCTTGTTGTTTTTGAGAGTATTACGGAAATTAAAAACATGAAGTTAAGCACGGGTTCTAAAACTAAAGGACGGTCTTTTGGCTATTACTTTATTTTTTTTCGCTCCTTTTACTTACGAGCGAGGTTATATTGGGAAAATACCTATGACACTCTGACTGTCGCGGTACCAAACAGAGCGTTCTCAGTAATTCGTTCGATAAGGGAGCTTCTCGTTGAGGCGCAGGTGGTCGGTTTTACTCTCGCCTAAGAAATGATTTTTTCCTTATACTGTGAACACGGGATTGAAGAGCTGCCCCTCAATACTGAGTTAGAAATATGTGGTACTAATAAGCAATGTTATAATAAACCATCTTTTCCAGAATTTCCATGTCAAGCGGATGTAATCTTATTCTGGCCGCTGGCTTCACCGGGATACTTGTGTGAAACGTCACTAAATCGAGTGGTAGATATGAAAATCATTAACCCTACAGCTATTGTAGTCCCATCAAACATCACTCTGTTCGGAGTTATAGTTTCTTGCGGGCAAATCTCCAAAAGGTCAAAACCGAAGCCAGAAGCATACGCTGGGGCAGACTTATCTGCTGCGGAAAGCTTTGCGATTTCGTATTACTATGATATTGAGGTTACTTCAAGCTTTTAAACATTTAACAGAGAAAAATTCGAAATTTACCTAAAAAATGTGGAAGCCGTTAGTAACGGAGTTGCGGTGAAAATTCATATCAAATGATTTCAGCCATCCACCTTGGAGTATTCTCAATTATCAGACTCGTATGAGCTGTTATCGTTGTGCTTCGATACTGTAAGAAATATCAATAACTTTTCTTTAGTTCTGATAGTTTGGACAGTTTTAAGAACATTTATTCAACTCATTTGACTTTTTGGATTTACTTTATAAAGCTTATGGTCTATATTTGTCAAACTTTAGTCTCTTGATCAAAAAGGATTCCCTTGCAGGAGCTTGCATTGGATTCCAGCGAGCTGCCCTCGTGCTTGCAGCAACTACGAAAGATAACTGAATTCAAAACTGTTTGCGAAGGTGTAGCTGACGGAATTTTATTTTGGTATGACGCTTCATTTCATTCTTATCGCTATAGCTCCCTACTGGAGGAGACAAACGCTCGTTGTGGCATGTTTCTATTTGATAAAAGTAGGGAGTTGCCAGCTGGAGAAAGTCTTGTATTCAAAACTTCTCTGTACCATGGCAACGTGATCATTGAAGAGGTGGTATGACACAACGGCACTCTGCAGTTAATTCTGTGATGCTTTCATTTACTGGGAGGCTCCTAGCGAGAGGAGCTAAAAGGATGTGACTTGTTTGCCGAGCCGAAGGAATCAGATGGTTGCACCGTTTTACCAAGGACCCATTCTGTACCTCGTACTTCCTAAAACAGAAATAAGAGCTTGTTTTCAACCGTCCAACTTACTACCTCGTTTTATTGTACTACCTGTGCTTTTGACTTGGCTTACTTTTATCTCTTCTTGAAGGTCATTCCGAGAAAGTTAAAGCTGGTATTGAAATTTAAAGCCTTTGTCATCTCCACATTCCATGACAATTGGAAATTTCTTTTTACAACACTTGAAAAAACTCGTGGCACGTTCAAATATCTACTTCTTTTCCTTTTACCTACTCAAACTAAAAACCCCGTCCAATGCTAAATTACCAGTCCATTAAATCCTATTTGTGCTACAGCTAACTCAGTGCCGGCAACCGAAAGCTAAAAAGTGAAATATTTGGACTTCGCAAAGTAATAAACCCCGATATTTATATATATCTTAAAACTACTGCATTTGGTTGCCGAAACTAATCATCACCTACTATTTTTTTAGTTACTTTAATTTCGTATAGTCTAACTCAAGAGGGAACACGCAGCAGTGAGAACAAGCGCAACCTGTTTCCTAAATATCATTCTTCACTTTGACAATTGAATTCCCCTTAACAGTCAGCTGCAGTGAACATGCAAAATAATCATCTCGGTTCGTTAATCTGTACACTTCGGAATTATGCTATAATACAGGTTAGGGTCCATGTACAAGCATACTCCTTACGAGCTTCGACACTTACTGCTTAATAGTTCTTATCCCACGTTACGGGGCATTGCAACAGAATGGTATGTAACAAGGCTTAATGATTTATTATCACCTCATCAAGAATTGTGCAAGAGACTTTATTATTCCATCGTATTTAAAACCGCAAATTTCAGTTATCGAAATTTGAACAGTTGTCAATGGTCCACTTCAAACTTATAACTTCACAAGCAATGGAAGTGACATTTGTTACAAAAATCCACTAAATTTTCGTGAAACTCACACGCAATACAGAAACTTACGTCATATCGCAGAGTCAAAGAGTTCTGAATTTAACAACTACAATGTGACTCCAAATATTTCAAAGACGGAAAATAAGAAGCAAAGAAAATAGAGAACAGTTAGTAAAACAACAATTTTTTTATTTCTGAATAGAGAAATTAACGTTACCGAACGTCTGTAACCGTAACAACCTTTATGAAAAGGAAGGACTGAATCTCCTGTAAACTGAGAGGGGTGTATTCTGTTGGATATTAAGCAGTAACACTGATCAAGCTTTATCAAAACCGATTATAATGAAGACTGCGCAGTACACAAGTGGTATTGTACCGTTCCCCTCATTCTTCCTCTTTCTACTACTGCCAGTTTCCATGAACTTTTGAGGAACATTTCTACCAAACTCTCCATTAGTTTTGAAACCGCAAAGCGGAATATCATTGAAAACTTCACTGCAACTAAAAAATTTAGCCAGAAAACAAAAAGAGGAAAAACTCCTTTTCATAACGGAAATAACCTGAAAATATCCGCTTCATTGATTGAAGAAGGACGTCCAAAGCAACGGAAAAGGAATGCTATACGACTGACACTTTTAGGCCATCGGTCAATGACATGTTCCTGAAAAACCAGTGAACATCAATTACAGCAAGTTTTTAATAAACGAATAACGCTAAGGAAACTATTCCCTCTAAACATCTCAGTATTATTCCTCTATCAGCAATAACAATTTAATAAAAAACCTTCAACTACTTATGTCCTACTCCACCAAGAGACTTTTCGGCAGCTTTCAAAATACGTTACAAAACTTCACTACAAACTTGAAATTACTTTCCACTGCGAAAGAGCTCGAGTAATCGCGGATGCTGTCCTTGCTGGACGAAGGATATATGACGCAGCTCTTACAGCAGATCCACCAAATAAAAGACCAACTACTTCTACATCTGTTGTATCAGGAATATCATCACTAAAGTTATGCTTGACATTCTTGAATAAACACTTCAATATTTTTTTAAAAAACTGTAAAATGGCTAAGACAACGCTTATAGATAAAATCAAAATGAGCACAAAGTGTACTACCCCACTAAATGTGCTTCTTTGACCAATTCAACAACTCCACCACAAAGTGCCACCTCTGGACCTTCTGGTAACGATGATATCCAGTCGCAGAATAGAGTAGCTGATCTGTTGGATGAAATCATTGGAGTTACCATCACCACAGACTTTACATCTTGCTAAACTGTCTCGAGGCTTCAGCAAATGATTGTTAAAAAATCATATCATTAACAATAAAAATGTTTTTTGTTTTTCTTTAATAAAACACTAAAAAATTTTTTTTGAAAATTCAAAGTGGAAAAATTTTCCCAACTATGCACTACTCACTGTTTGGTACCTTAACAGTGCAGAAAAATTACTTCAGCTGGCCAATTGAAAGTCTGACAAAATGTTTCTTTATTCTTCCTTAGAAGTCCCAACGAATCCTCCTCGCTTTGCCTGTTATAGTTCAAAAAATTATAGTGCTAAACAGATGAGCATTTATACATTCACAAAGATTTCAAAAGTAACCGGATCGAGAATGGAGTGACAAACACATTTGCTCTTTTCAGTAAGGATAATGGGAAAAAAAACCCTGCAACACCGTCTTCTTTACGTTCTAAAATACTATGACTTCCAAACATCTCTGATCGGCAAGAAATGGCTGAAAAAAATGATTGTGAAAAACAATCAAATAGTTTTTATAGCGGCAGCAAAACAATTTAGTCCTTTTCAAAGAACACTTTTTCCAAATGAGAATTGGTTCCTCTGCAAACAGTAACAGCAAACCATATAAATCAAGAAAAACATCATAATTATTATCAAAATTTACCATATAAACCGTTAATACAACTCCCTCCCATAAGCGTACAATACGACGGCAATTTTGACCTAAGACAGCAAGGAAAATGTCGGTGAAAAACACAGCAATTCCAAGGTCTTTCGCCGAAAACGACTGCTAATGCAGGAGCGCACTCCAGTTCCTAATAAAATTAAGAGCTTCCAATTTACGGATAAGGGAAAGAAAGGGAGATTTGTCCAGTAACCTTCATTTGTGTGAGGAATTCTGTGGAAGCGCATATCTGTAATTCATCCTCTTCTTTCCTCTTTGCTGTAAAGAAAACAACTCGACTTCGGCGTTGAAGTTCCCAGTCACCGTACGTCCTCCACGTTTTACAAACTCTAGAAACGTAGAAAAAAACGTATAATACTCTTAGAGTCCACATTCAAACCACCGAGCGATAACGTATAACTCCAAATCCTTCTGTATGAAATCATCATTTGCAAGAATCATTTACAAAATACTTAACAATCTTCTACTAGAAATACTGAGGAACTATGATCAAATGGTATACCGTTGCAAACGTAGTATTTCTGACGCATTCAAGCAACTAAAAACTCGCTCAATTATATGTGGTGCACGAAATACACTACTGATTGTCAAGTGCCGACCATCAGTGACCTTTTGGGCTTCTGTCTCATCACTGGAGCCAACCCGAGACATCACTGCATGACACCCTAGAAGAAGAAAAAAATGAGGAGTAAACTAAACTTTGGCTACAGAAGCCACTCAATAAAATCTTAAAAGTACACTGAACCCATCATTCTCTATAGCAACCTGGATCTCGTTGTTGCTCAGGACAAGTCATAACAAAAATTTATATAGTTCAAATCAAAAATGATAATCATCTTCTACGTTTCAATGTATCAAACCGAACAGACAGCTCGAAAGCACTAAAGTTCATTCACGAAGCTACTTTTTGATTCTAACATCCATTCAACGTAATGAGCAAAAATAAAAAATAAAAAAAGGCGAGAAATAAATGGTAAGACACATAACTCCAACGGATATATCGCCCTTTTCGTGCACAGCAGAAAAAAATAAATAAATATTACTTCACTCCCAGTACTTAAGAACAAGTAAAAAGCTTTGTTGGATAATCAAATTCAATTCGAAAGCATACAAAAAAATTTTTAAGACTAGATACAACCCATTATGAACACTGTACACGGTAGCTGTTTTAAAAAAGATAAATTAGATCAGACATGTAGAGGTACCATCTCCACGTAAAATGTCGAATACTACTCAGCAAATCTTAAAAAACAATAAAAAAAAAATCGGATAGACCCACCACAAAATCACCTTTTCCTCCTCCATTTTGTATAGTATCAAAAATGCGTAAGAAAACCATCTCACAAATAATCCAATAATAAATGTCACAACTTTGAAAGTAATCAGTTTGAATCTAACTATCAAATACATTTTTCAAAAGGAAAGACACAAATCAACAAACCAATAATGCAAACATGGTCGGTAATATAACGAAATAAATTGATATGCAATAGGGAATCAGTTGAACTTCCAGAAAATCCATCATAGTAAGCAAATATATCTTTTCTAAACAAGTATTCTGACTCAGAACAACATTCTTCCCAAGTAACACAACAAAATAACGAGCTCCTACTCTTCCTTACGGGCTTTTAAACAAGCACTGTTTGACACATCACTTTCACCGTTCGTGGCACCAGAAGCTCGCTTGCGACCTTGTCGCATAGCTGCAGCCTGAAAAGCTACAGTTGCTGTCGAAGGCGTGCATATTGAATAGAAATTCAAACAATAGAGATATATGAGAGACAAACCGTTGAGATCAAAATTCGTAGGTATTATAGCCAATAAGCTATTAAAAGTATTTCTAAATCCATAAGTCTCCTGTCCATAACTTGCTTTGGAAAAAGTTCAAAAAAACATTCATCAGACAGGATATAGACCTCAATCAGTCTAAAGTTCAATAAGAATAAAACCGGAATTGGAAATGCATATACCGAATCTTCGGTCCAAGTTTTGTTAAGATAACGTAAAAGTAAGGGTTGCTTCTCTGAAACTATCCTTTTTTCATCCGCGCTAACAGAAACACTGTTTATTACGAGAGGTTTAATCGTCTGAAAAAAAATAGTCAAAGATTAAACTCATTTAACTGCTACTTTCGACAGCTAATTGGAAATAAAAAGAAATTAGCGCCTCTGATTCGAAAGAAAAGTTCTAATCCTTTGGCACAAAAACTTTGCCTAATCATAGAGCAAAACCAAGCACTTAAAAAGATAGAAAAAAACTTCCGCCTTATTTACTTGAAATAATTTCTTTAATCTACAAACCATTTTATGCTCTACTTTGTCAGAAGAAATTTATCACTACTGGCAGGATGGTAGACGGAACTACCTGCATTGTTGTAAACAAAGTAGGACACCTTAAAATTCGATTCCAATCTGAGTTTAGCAAAATTTAACCCCAGATCTACTGAATTGAGTAAGACGAGTTAATATAATTAGGAACCAAAGGCTTTTTTTTTAAAACAATTACAGCAACTAAAACATACTACACGTGGCGATTCTTTCGAAGACACAGAAAAATTTTCCGCATTACACGAAGGCAGATTCTTCATAAACTCACACGTTCGCATCCCCCTTAAGTTCTTGAAATAAATCCTGAAAACGCTGGAATGAATTACAAAACGATTTCCTCTCCGACGTCAAGAAGCTACTCCAAATGCAGAAAAAAATGAACTACTCGATATGTGCCATCACAGGAACTCGAAGTGGTGAAATGAAGCAACAAATAAGTGCAACAATTCTGAAGCGCTTAAACATAATAGTAAACTCTTCAGGAATAATAAGGTACAGTAATATGCATTAAAAAAAAGGCTAAAAACTTCAAACAACCGACTAGCACTACTTTTCAGCAATTTCCTAAAAATATTTTTCTGCAAAAGTTAAAAAACGACACAAACTTCAAAAAAAAAATAAATAAATAAATTTTCAATGCCATTAACTTTACTTAAAGAAACCACACTCTTGAAAAACTTCATTCGACCTCTTTGTTGAATAACTTCAATAAAGCAAAGTTGAAACTATATACAGGATAGTTAATAACTGCGAAAACAATAAGTACAACAAACTGCAACAACTCCACAAGAAAGCGTAACGCTCATCCAGATGATGAACACAGCTCACTAGCACAACAACCTGCTTACAAAGCCATTTCACATAAACTTCTAAATCACGCCTCATAACCTCCCAAAACTATCAAGCTACTCGTTCCACCCCTCTCGCAAACCCTGGAAACATGGCGCTCTTTTTTCAGAAACATCAATATAAAAAAAATTAGTTATCAAGAATAATAAAGACACCCACCTTCAACTGTTCACCAGTCACAACAACTAAACAGTTTTGAGAGACAGAAGACGCACCTCCCCGCTAGACTAATCAAAACAAAACCTCCCACTTCAACTGTTATTTATAAGTCTCTTGCTTAAAGTTCAATAACAACAAAAACATCATACGAGTTCCGAAAATTACCAAACTCTACAACAATAATAGCAAATGATGATCCATCTGTCAACGAACATATTCAAAATCACTTTATTGCAATGAAAGATTTTACTTCTCACTGTCACAGATAACCAACAAGCGAAAAAAAAAGAGACAAAATTAGATCCTCACTAATAAATCTTGCTGTAACACGGTTTAAATACAAACTTAAAAACTTTAACTGTCATTACATATCCATTACAGATGGTATTTGCACTCGTCCATCATCACCAGTTTTAAACGGCGGTAAACCCAAGTAAGGACACGTAGAACATCGAAACGCATCTCCAAGAGCACACTAAAAAAAATCCAGAATAATTAATTTTTTTTTCAACTTGCTAAGGAGCTAACAAAACAAAAAATACACCCTTGAAATTATTCCACGAAAAACAAAATTTACAAGAACTTTGATTGGTGTAATTAGTAAGTCCAAAGAAATAATAGAAGAAATAAAGCAACAACTGTCAGTAAGACTAATGAAAAAATTGGATGAAACAAAACCTTTGCATTAAAACGAATAATATGAACCTAATTCGACAGACTATCAGTAAAAAAACATACATTTCCACAGCCTTTCTTTCCAGGAGCCTGCTGCCTCTCCGCCTCCAGCTCCTCAGCAAGACCACAAGTGCAATTTTTGCATGGACGTCGCTTTTTCTTAGAATTATTTGCGTCGCTGCATTCTGCTGCAAAAAAATTTCAAGAACTCCACTCACAACTCAAAAACAGATGACAGTGAAAAAGAGCGGTAGAGATGAAAAAACTAAAAAGTGTGACACAACAAACTTATTTGAAAATCAATATATTCCTAAAACTACTAAATTACAGACTTCTTCGTTTAGAAGGACCAGAGAAGACAACACGCTCCACAGTGTCTAGTACCTAACTGGACTGACTGTTATCCGACTGAATTATATGCTCCAAACCTTCGAAAATAAAATTCGCTGAAGCCTTTTCTGGCAGAGTATTTATCATGCATAATTTATCTCAATTTCTAAAAGAAATTATTTTTCTACCATAACACGTCCAAACAATGTTGCTGTTTACCTACCCTCCATAGACTACAACTTTTTGAAATTCTTTTACGTCTCCTACGTAAATGAGCTTTATAAAAAAGAAAAAAATGACAGACGAAAGTGAAAAATGAGCACAGAACCTTCAAAACGTAACACACAAAGATGGTAGAATCCAGAAGACAAGAACATGTTAACTATCGCATTAATGTTTCTAAAATGTGCCTACCAATTTAAGCATTGTAAATACAGACAAGTACCAAATCCTCAAAAACAATTCCAGAGGTGTAAGTGAATCAAGAAAGCAAGTTCTGAGAGCAGCATATCAGAAAAAAGGCAAACTTAATCACGGATAAAGTAGAACGATTGACACCTATGAAGTTCGTGCGCTGTAATTCAGCACTTTAGCAACGACTAGAAGAAGCAATAAATTAATTTACTTATCAGCGAGTGAAGGACGAAAAGTGAAAAAATTGTAAAAAATGAGCTATACAGTGTGAATAAATCGAGTAACTCAAACTCTACTTCATGACTTTGAAATAGCTGTTGTTTATGTTCTGCAAGTTTCTGCAAGTGAGTAATGCGAGACAAAAAAGAAAAATCGATTTAAAAAAGATGACAAGTCCTTGAAAAAAACTAAGGAAAACAAGATCACTTCAACAGCAACTGAACATTTTTAAAACAAAATAAAAAGCCGAAAACAAGAATATGTACTGACCTTTTAATTCAGATGCTGAAGGTAGTTTAAGGTCTTCTTCATTAAGTAAGGCGTCTTCGTCAATAAGCGTATCGTCGTCCAAGTTCCATACTTTTTGTACTATCGGTAAGCTTAACGGAGCTGTATGCCCAACAGCAAAGTCTGGCTACAAACGATAAAATAAGCATTGACCGGCATCTGAATCTTCCGAGGAGAAACCAGCTACAGTAGAGAAGAAAGCACAACAGTAAAGAATCCCAGTCAGCTTTTTAGACTGAGAGAGTGTGTGAGACAAAAAATGCTAAAGAACAGTATTATTAACCAGGTCCGAGAATTTCTTCATGGGCAAAATTCTTACCGTAGCAACTCATTATAAAGATACTAAAGCCTAAAAGAAGCGCAGAGAAATAAGATCTAAATTTGAAAAGAACACAAGGAGAAAGATACTTTTTTTGAGCGCACACAACTGGCATCACTCTTCATCCCTTGCTCAACTGTAGTTTCCAAAAATCCAGAGAACATCATTTGCTTCTTGACATCAGAAATATTACATCCTTTAAACAAAAGAATGTTTGACAGTCAGACTTAGAATACTGAACATTACCATAAATAAATTTTCCGATCTGTAAAAAAAGAAAATCTAAGCTGAGAAAACTAAAACCACTAAGCTGAGAAAATGCAGATTTGGCTTGCCTTAAATCTCTTTTTTTTCACACCTCCATTCTCTGCGTCAAAAATGGCAAAGTTTCAGCGCTAGCTGTAGTGGGTAACTTTTAGGATAAGCTGTGCAACTTTTGCTTGGAAATAAACTTGTGTTTCTTCAAAAAATACTCACTTCCACTCTCTCAAACTACAGTTTCTAAGACCCCAAAAAAACTGGAGATTTAACCTGTAATTATGATAGTAAATGATATATACCTTTAGTATTAAAAAACAGTTTCCCGTTCGGTTTCAAAAATAAGAAGGCATTGCTCAAACAGTGTGGTATCTGCGCATCACTTGAACATATTATTACTGCGTTGTCATAAATTTCATTTGCATTACATTTTTCTGCTGTAAATTAAAATTAAGTGCACAATATTTGTATATAACTAAGAATATTTAAAAAGGTACATATCAAAAACAGACAATTAACCAAATTACCAGTAGCAAGAACAACATCTAATTTTGAAAAACGATTATTTTCCTCGACCAGAACATCAGAAACAAGGTGCTTTTCTTCTAAAATTGAAAATTGAAAATAAAAAACCCGGTTAGCAAATGAACAGATGAATGAATAAATAAATATATGAGCCATTCCATGCCAAATCGCACACCTTCGTAATCACCCTCTCAGATTTTTTTCATTTTTTGCTGATTAGTAGAGTCTGGGCTAGCAAGAAGAAAGCCGAAAAGAAAATCCGGAAAAATGAATTCTCCGCAAAGTTACACCCCCCCAAAGCTGCATTGCCAGATTGTCGCCTAACACGCCTATCTTTGGAGGCTTGTAGTTTATTCCGTTCTTAATACAATTAAACTTTTTTTGATGCATCTTATTTCTCATGTCCTGAAGTTTCAAAAA